GGTATTGCCGTTAGATGTCATATTATTAAGCTGTTTCAATTATCGATTATGTGTTTTCGTTAGGGTCCGATTGATTATATCAGCGCTTCGATCGATTCGGAGTTGGCCCCACAGGAGTCTCCCCCCTTAAACATATTTAGATGTCTATAATATAATAACAATTTACATTATTTTGTTCCGGAACATTCAGAGAGTTATTTTTCAAAGCAACTGAAGAACTATTACAGTAAAAGCACAACAAGCGTACGAAGTTGAAAATGTGCAATTTTTTGAAAATTGTTTCTTTCAAAAACTGGATGTGCTGGGAGAAAACGATTTGCAGATTTGTATTCAGTTCATAAAGATCTATCAGGAACACCCATTCACGGTTATGAAGTAGGAAAAATTTTAAATTTGTTGAACAGAGTAATTGGCGTTCTGCTATAATTCCTTGATATTTCGCGAATATTGGTTAAAATATTAACCGAGTATTTCCTGTTGAGGCAACCAATTCCTAATGATCACGTTATTAGGTTTGTTATCTACAGCAATCTCAGATTTCCAGATGACTGTGTAGGGTAGTTCTGCGAAGCTTGCCAATATCGCGTTTCTCACTTTCATTGGCAATTGACTAATTTTTACGTTAGAACCCATACTAAAGTATATGAAACCTGACGTTGCTTTGTCCAGGATCTCCTTGAGGTCCTAAAAGAATTATGAAATTTATATTTATGTTACTTTATTTTAACATCAAAGGAATATTGACTAGAGAAATTCAACTTGATGTAGTTGTAGGTTGCAACGAACAATGGAATTTCGGTAATTCGAAAATGCCGGCTTTTTTGAAGCTTTGTACGTTTGTCGTGGAACTCTATAAAAATATCAAGCAATTTTATTTTCTCGTTAATTCTAGGTTCTTCAAGGTAATAACATCCCTTAAATGTTAATGTATTTCCTTGTTTTTCTGTATATCTTGAAAATTATAATAGATATAAAAAATTTGTTAGAGTGAAAATTGAATGGCTTTTTATGCTCTGTAAAACTTTAAATACAATGCCATTCTTAAAAATTTGCATTAATATTTTGAATGCGCCGTCATTTTGACGTAACCCCCTCCTATTGAAGCTAACGAAACGGTATATGCGGCAGCAAGTGTTGACAATAGAAAAAAGTTAACTTAATTTTCTGCAAAATATCATACAGCATCGTCAATGCCTATGGAATCTGTCTTATACAGAAACGGTGTAGGTTGAAGATATAAAAGGTTATGTACTTTCTTTCACAAACGGGTTTTTCAATATTTCTAACAAGGGAAGAACCCTAATCTGGCAATTCACACAATTATGAAACTTTGGGGATATCTAGAGCATATATGTATAGGCGTGTGTTGTGCAATTTCGTTTGCTGCTCGAATTCACTCCTAGGAGTTATAACCAAGTATTAAAAATTCGGCTATATTTTTGTCTTATTTTGTAACTCGCAAACTGTAGGAGATAAAAAAAAGTTTTAAAACAAACGTTACTTCTTTTAATTAGATCTAACAAATGGTAAGAGATCTATCAATTTTTTAAAACAATTATAGAAAACTTATAAACAAAATTATTTATAATTTTCTCTAAAATTCGTTTCTTTTGCGTAAAATCTTAATCGGTGCTTAAATAATTGCGAAACAGTACACACTATATCCTAATAAATATTGGACGAACGTTGCTCATCGTGCAGGTTATGTACGGTACAATTGTTTCAAAAGTTGTACGATTGTCGAGGAAGAAAGTTCAGCAATACAATAATGGTTGTATTTGTATTTAAAAAATGGATTATGCTACTTGATAAATACAAAAATAATTAATATATTTTAAATAACTTCTTTATAATTGTTTTAAAAAATTGTTAAGTGTTTTACCATTTGATAAATCCAATTAAGAGAAGTAACTTTTGCCTTAAAGCTTTTGTTCTATCTCATACAGTTATATCGTTATACATACGTCATATCTTCATGTAGATTCCTACTTTCCTGCCAGAAACTTCATAAATAACGCAGGAAGTGTTATTTTAGATATTTCACCGTTTTAAACCAATTTAAAGCCGACTTTAAACCTTGACACGAATACACCGTTTTGACACTTACCTCAGACATAGTTGTATTCCCGGAAAGTTCTACGAAACGACATCTACCGATGTATATGATAGCCGGAACATGTGAATGAGGTTCACTAAAGTACGGATGACTACTAACTAACAATATCTCCATTTGATTCGAAAGTTTTTCAATGGGAGGCATACTATCGCCGAAATGTTTTCGTAAAACTTTCTCTTGTATTGGTAGGTTCAGGTACTTATACATGTACATGATACGCAAGGAACAGTACGCTTCGTACATTCGATCCCATAAATTGTCAATTAGGTTCCCAGTTAGTGCACTTCGTCCGTATGACATTATTATTTCGTTTCCTAGAAAATAACAAGCGTATACATTCAACTAAATGTAACAATTCTATTATTATCAATTTTTTTTATAATTAGTAAAGTATTAACTTGTTGTTATATTTTATCTTTCAATTAGTTCTTAGACAGAAAGAATTATATCTGCACAGAAAACTGTGAACGTTACATAGAAGTACATCTTCTTTTTTATAAACTTTGATTCTTGTTGTATGCAGGGTGTCTCAGCTAACTAGATCACCTCGAATAATGACTTAACGGCACAGTTTATGAAAATTTTGAGGCATGAAACTTAAATGGCATCAAGGGGCACATCTTATAAGGTACGTGCTTTCTTTGTAGGTGGAGGCATTTCAGAGATTTCAAGGTCACCTTATATATTTTTTAACGGAATGATCTATTTTTGTACCATAGATCGATAGAGTATCAAATTCTGAGTAAAAATGTGTTGACCTACATACGCCCTGAACCGAATAATCAACGAGACATTTACAAAATAATTTTTAATACATACTTATTATCTGGAAGCTAAACTGGGTGCTCAAACTGATGCCCCTCAACTTTAACAGAACGCGTTTACATGACAATGTTTTTACCAACAGAAATGTTCTCGACTTATAGTATACTCCAGTCTCTTTCCTAACATTTATTTGAGTATTGTAGAAGATATTGTTGCGTGGGCGCGGCATGATCTCCAATAATAAGAAAGCAGGATTTATAAAATGAATAATTTTTATTCTTCAAAGAATCGCGCTCGCTGTCTGAGTATAGGTTTTCTGCCATTGCCAGACCGTTGTATGATTTGACGGGGAATAAAGATTTTGTTTGGATACACATGTCGAACGAAGCTTTTGAAAGATTGAAGAGTTGTTTAACTTCTGCGCCGATTTTAACTTTTCCTTCTCCACATGAATCTTTTATCTTAGATACGAATGCTTCAAATATTGGCATAGGAGCAGTTTTATCTCAGGTACAGGATGGTATTGAAAGAGTAGTTGCTTATTTTAACAAGTCCTTGAGTAATGTAGAAAGGAATTATTGCATTACAAGAAAAGAATTATTAACAATTATAAAGGCTATAGAGCATTTTCGCCATTATTGACATGGGAGGAAATTTAGGGTATGAACAGAGCATGCAGCTTCGAGATGGTTACTGTCGTTTAAGAACCCAGAAAGTCAAATGGCGAGGGAGATCGAGCGTCTTCAACAATATGATTTTGAGATCATACATCGAAGTGGAAAATTTCATTCTAACGCTGATGCGTTGTCCAGAAAGCCTTGCTTAGAAATTAGTTCTAAACAGTGTGTCAACGTTGAGAACAAAGAGAAACTATCACAAGTTGAGTTGATTCCAGTGTTTCGTACGTGATGTGAATTGTTTGATGTTCAGGATGGGATTTTTTCTCAGGAGGATGATCCTAATTAAAAACTAATATTGAGTAGTAAAATGTCTGGAAAAAAACCTTCTAAAGGTTGGTTTACACTATACGGCACAGACCGTCGCGTAGCGTATCCGGCACGGACCATTTCGGGCATGACACGCCTATATATAGACGCGCGCGTAGGGCGTATACTGTCCGTCACGACACGGACCGTCAGTAGCACGACGTTTCTATGCACATGGCGCCACTGTTCCGTAACAGTCAGTCAGTTGACGTTCAGCAGTCAAAATGAGAATGAGATGTTGAAAATCGCGAAAGAGCGTGTTCTTAGTCAAACATGGTTGTGTAAACAAATTCGTGAACAGAAACATTATGACTTAAATTTCACCAAATTGCACGTGGACTACAACATATTTCATTTTGAATAAAATCCCTGATAACGAGTGCAAAATGTTAGCGATTGGGCGTGATATGACCCGAAACTTTTTATGTTAAATATACAGGGTGTCCCACCTAATGTGAGAACCTTTGATATCTCACTCCTCTTTTTGGATAAATAATGTGTGAAGGTTGCTACTTAGTTGAAAGGGGCGAATACTGTGATAAGCAACAAGTTTTTCTCAAGGTCATATTTTTCGAAATGTCGAAGTCATCGATGTTTTTTTAAATGGGATAGCATATTTTCATCATCATGGCGTAATAGTTCAGATCAAGACCAATGTAGTGACCTAGTAGTGTGACTTTCATGTTAGCCCGAAAACGAAAAATCCACAAATTGATGGGAGTAAGTCTAAATAATAAAACAACGACAATAGAGGGATTAATGCAAAAATGAATCGAAGCTGATGGACATCATTTTAAAAATTTGTTACAATAAATTTTCTGCAAATAAAAAATAAGTGAGATATTTAAGGTGTGTACGTTAGGTGGGACACCGTGTACATATGTGTCGAAAGCGGATGGCCTGTCACGTATTGAGCGTTGGAGAATTCATGATAGGATTTGTGCGGTCTTGCAAGAGAGTACATGATAGCGGGAGATCACTTTAGGTCTTTCAGGAATCGGGGACGTCGAGAGTTGTTTATGCGAAACAGATTCGTGAAACTTTAGAGATGGCAAGCAATTGTTGACCGCTCGGCGCATCAGGACAGCAGTCGGATGTCTTTGAAGCTCTACCCTGAGTACAATTATGAAATGATACTAATGAAATTTGGTTTGCGTATTCAGAAAGATTCAAAGAAGAACATATATATTTTCAGATTTTTAAAAACCTGAGCAGAGAGATTCGTCTTTGCAAAATAAAAATGTATTTATAATTTTCATATTGAAAAAGGATGCGTATAATGAAATTAAAAATAAACTTAGAAAGTTCTACCTTTTGCGATGCGAATGAAATAACATTTTCTCTTTAAGTATAATAGTTTACGAAATATAAATTTGTTTATACAGTCACGTATGACTAAAAATCCGCAACTTGTTAATAACTTTGAAGCCAGCAAAATGATGATACAAACTCATCATTATTTCACATAAACTACAACATATTGCAGTTTCATTCAAATCGAAAAACATACTATCAAAAGTAATCGATTTGGCGTGGAATGGCCCGCTTACAACTGTTTATTAATTCACAGTGATAGACCAGCGCCGACCGTACCGGCAAAACATTCTTCGTGCGAATGCCAGCAGCGTCGCTACGCGCCGTTGACGGAACATTGCGGGTCGGTGCCGTACAATGTAGATAGCCACATTTAAAACGCGTGTTTCAACGTTTGCTTGCCCGAAACGGTCCGTGCCGGTTACGCTACGCGACGGTCTGTGCTGTATAGTGTGTATTGACCTAATCCGGCGCCGGCGGTAGGTGACGTTGACGGAACATTACGGGTCGGTGCTGGACTATGTAGACAGTCCCACTTAAAACCCATGTTTCAATATTTTGTCGCGCCCGAAACGGTCAGTGCCCGATACGCTACGCGACGATCTGTTCCGTATAGTGAAAACCGACCTTAAGGAGTAGCAGTTTAACCTTTCAAAGAGAATGATGTGTCAAAGATAAGTACTTCTTGTAGAATAAATAATTATTCATCTTATAAGTCTTGCTACCTTATTATTGGAGATCGTGCTACGCCCATACAACAATATACTCGATGTGCATTTGCGACTGTTGGGAAAGTACAATTGAAAATGAAATACCGTAATATTGAGTTTGTAAATATGCTGCCAGTTTATGATGCTTGCGGTAAAAACGCAACAAGAGCGAAAGAAATGTATCCTGAAAAGTATCCTCAGCGACAATCCACCGTCTCGATGTATGTTTGATATACTTTATCAATGCCAGTAAACGTAACCGTACCAAACCCGTTGTTAATGAAGATAATGCTACTACTGTCGTAGCAATGGTTATGCAAAATCCACGTGTCAGTACACGACAAATTACAGGTAGGTCGGGAATTAGTTCAGCTAGTGTACATCGAATTCTTCAAACTGAAAATTTCATCCATATTAGGTGCAACTTCATCAGGAGTTACATGAAACAGACTTCGAAAAACGCGTTCGATTTGGTCGGAAACTGTTGCAACATATAGACAGAAATGATTCTTTCCTATAAAATGTTTTATTTACGGATGAGGCGACATTTACTAACTATGAGTATGTTAACTTAAAAAACAGCCATTATTGGTCACAAAGCAATCTTTACTGGATTAGAGAAGTTGATCACCAACGACAATGCAGTATCAGTGTGTGGTGTGGTATACTCAATGATAAGATAATTGGACGATATTTCATTGATGGACATTTAACAGGACGAAAATATGCAAATCTTCTTACTGAGATATTACCAGGTCTGTTACAAGATGTAGCATTACATATCCGCCTAGCATGAGGTTTCCGCAATGATGATTTTCCTTCACATTATGCAAAAGAATCACGACAAGCATTGCAGGGACAATTTCCGAATCGATGGATCGGTCTCGGTGGAGAGTTTCCGTGGCCACCGCGTTCACCAGATCGTACGCCACTAGACTTTTTCTTGTGGGGAACTTTAAAAGACAAAGTGTACTTTAACCCACCTACGACACAAGAAAATGTAAAACAAAGAATTCAAGAAGCGTGTGAGATACTTACTTCAGAAACAATTAAAAATACTGTGTCTTCGTTAAGAAGAAGATTACATCGCTGTAGTGAAGTTGAGGGTATCAGTTCGAGCACCTATAGCTAATGATGGGTAATCGATACCGGTTACCATCATCGTTTCACCTTAAGAAACGCTGACGACGGGCCTCGGCGAGGCGAGATGTTATTATTAGATAACTTTTACGCGCCGAAGTCGTGTCTCCGCTGTCACTTCATAAAACTGTCATTTCGGCCCGCTTGACCAGCCGAGCCGAGCCGGTGAATCGAAAGCTTCCGATACAGCTCGAGCTGCTCGGCTCGACTACCCATCACCACTTATAGCTTTCAGATAGTAAATCTACGTACTAAAAATTGTTTTGTCAATATCTTGTTAACTGTTATGTTTAGGACGTATGAAGGTCAACACATTCTTACTCAGAATTTGATACTCTATCGATCTACAGCACAAAAAATGGGTCATTCTGTTAAAAAAAATCAAGGTGATCTTGAAATCTCTGAAATGTCTCCAACCACAAAGAAGGCACGTACCTTATAAGATGTGCCCCTTGATGCTATTTAAACTCCACGCCTCAAAATTTTCATAAAGTGTATAGTTAGTCGTTATTCGAGGTGATCAAAGTAGCTAAGATACATTGTATATTTCTGTAGAAGTTCAAAAAACAACTTAAAGCTTTAGTCACATTACAGTGTTCTTTTTCTATAAGTGTGGTGTGTTGTCTTCTTTACACTGTAGTACAGTTAGTAATACGTAGTGTGTTTCGATTTTCACAATGTCGTGAAAAGAGGAAAATGACGTTAAAGTGATTTAACTTGTGACTTGTAAAATTGTAAAAACTGTTTGTGCAACAGAAGTTTACAAATTGCAACTTATAACTTGTAAATTCACTAACACTATTAATTGATAAATTAAAAATTTGTAGCCCCTCGTAATCCACAAGAAGCTACATCGTCAACACTTTCTCCACGTTGTAACAGGATTTTGTCGAAAGTATTTATGCTCGAAAAATCCGTTCTTCGAACTGCGTTACTTTTGTAGCAAGGGTGCGATATGCTTTTTAACCGATATCTATAAAGCAGGGACCATAACTGTTATAACCAAAAAGAAAAAAAGTCATGGGATAACAAGTATTTCATCGACAGAAGTCGTATTGGTTACAATTAAATTATTGTTGGTAAATGTTATCGTTGTTATTGTTGGTAAATATTATCGTTGAGGGAAATTCATTTCGATCATTCATAACAGTTATCGTTTTTGTGTTAATTATCTTAAATTTCAATAAAAATCAACTTTTTATTAATGATTTTTATTGTAGAAAATTTTAGAATGACTGTTATTTTTGGTCCCTGGTAAAAAGGACTCTCCGTACCAATATCATACTGCTAATCCTAAGGCGTTATTACTGCAAAAATACATTTCTGGTGGCGTTTGAAGTTCTCCACCACTCGTTAAAACATTTCAATCTGTAGATACCGTAAATCCTCGATAAGTGTTCGAAGACTTCTCGGCACTGAACATTCAATATTTTATAAACTAATTGCCACAAGCTCTCTCACTGTGCTAATCCTTATTAGAAAGTAAGCGTTACACTCGGGGACCTCTCCTTCTCAGGGTCGAGGAACACTCATCGAGGATTTACTGTATTAGGTATCCTGTAAATTATAAATGCAACCGCAATATAATTTACTTGTGGTTAACAGTCGTAGATGTCTTACGAAAACCAATTCTCTTTTGAAATGTTTTCATGTTTCTTGTCATAAATATATTTCTTTAATGAACGTACCAAAGTGAAGGCGATGAAGAGTCAACAGTTCAAGCGACGATATACCGACCATCGGTATGTTAAGATGAATCGATAGTGCATATAGAGCATCGTAAAACAGATGTTGCATCAGGATCACGTCAAATTTCTGCGTACTGTTTGTGGCTATAATTTCTTGCATTGCTGGATGAGAGAGCACCGATTCGCTGATCACTTCCCCAAAATGCATCACAAGTCGCACAAATGACCACGCATTTTCCTGTTTCCCTAATTGGAAGAAATCTATTCTGTTCTTCCACTCGTTTTTTATGGCACTAAGGTCGACCTCCGTGTAATTGGCCAACTTCGAATCTTTCATCGGGTAAGTTGTAAAAACGACCAGCTCATGGCCACGTTTCAAGAGTTCTAACGTGTACGCTCTGAAGACCACCTGAAAGGGATAAAGGTAACATGAAATTGTCCCAATTTTGGAACAGGCTTTTGAATGACAGCTTCATATCGAATATTTACGATTTTATGAAAAGTAATAGTAATGGTGACAGAATATTTGAGGGGTGATTCTACATGCCGAAAAATAGAAAAAATCAAGAGTAACAAAATTGCCGTTGAGACTCCACTTTTCAATTACAAGCGTTTAAAAATTAGGCTGATAACTGCTTGAAACTATTTAGGTAATCTGCAGACAACCAGTAAACACAGGGCAGCCGAATTGTAGCAGGCCTCACAGTGCCATAAGTATATAAGAAGTCAATGAAGACCACGAACATACCTCGCAGAAACTATGAAAAATTCGTCGATGCTATAGGGATCTGTGTCACATTGAAAATTTGTGCAAAGTATTAAACTTATCTCTTCTATGAAATTCTCACGGCTTAAAATTTTAAAAATTTCCACGCTTACACACACACACACACACAGTTCATAAATACACAGCGAGTATCCATCAAAAAGTTTGGGCCAAGACAAGCATATCAGGTATTAGAGATGTACATGGAGGAAATTATTCACACACAAAACTGATATTAGCATGAATAGTATATTGTGAAAGAACTGTTGAAGAAATATAAATAATTTCTCTTTTTCTATACATACTTATTTCATCATCATTATTATATACAGGTATATTTACGTTTGTACAAAGTGCGGAACAAAAGTGTAAAAATAGGTATCGAAAAAATTTATTTTTACTTTGTTATCTACACTCTTCTTCTAAATGTGTATATTACCCTTGTGAATTGAACGCACCTAATTTGTACATTTCGTTATTATTCGTACGTATTTGTAATGAAATGTTTCACAAAGCAGATTTAAATTCTTTAACACTTCGACTACCACCATGAACGTAATCAGGTTATCAGTCGTGGGGGGGGGGGTATTTATCTTATGGTAAATTTCATAATGTTATTTTTCTCCTCTAGAGTGATGGAAGTGGGGGCGGGCTAAATCCAATTTTTTCTCTTCTAGGACAAGGAAAAGGCCCCGACTAAGCCTATAAGTACTATGCGAGTTATGTATATTTTGCTTGGGGGGCCACAATTGAATTTTTATTATTACAAGCATAATAATGAAAAAATGTTGAGTTATATGATTAAATAAGGCTACATACTTATCAGTATTGCGTTTATTATGACTACTACCGTGGCCCTATAATGCACTCGAATACTCTTGATAATATATACATATATGTACATACCTACCTCATGCGAAAATGTTTCGAAATGTCTAACGAGAAAAATGTTGCAATTTTCGTCAAAGTTTTCATTGATATTTAGTAGTTTTGCAATAACAATTGTATTTTCAAATGACATATTATAAACAGTACATGTGCGCTCTCGTTTTAGTTTTTAAGAAAACTGGTTTTAAAACATCTTTGAAAGAAATGTTTGTACGTTTAAAGAAAATACAAGATTATACAAAAAAAAAATACAAAATAAAATACAAAATACGAGTCCAGTGATATTAAAAGGCAAATGTCATAAAAAGTAGGCATCCTTTTTTGCGTGTGCATATTGTTCTACTACCTAGTTGGTTGCGATTTGTATTTAAAAACTATGTATATGTACATTAGTCACAGTATGCTAATTCGGTAGTGAACACTAGCATCTATGATAATTTAGGTTCCCATTTGCGTCACATGAAGACACATAGTTTCTATTTGTAATTTAAATAGGTATACATATGTATACGTCAACGAGTTTCTAAATCGCGTAAAGTTATTTTCTTTATTCAAAAACAAATGTAACTGTTCAGTTTGAGAAATTGTTTGTCATGCTTGTAAAATATATTAAAAAAACTGAAAATATAATTTCTTATACGATATTTATTTTAAAAAATAGTTATATGCGTAGAAGATTAAAATATTAAACAACAATTATAATTTCTAAAATCGAATTATTTTTCGAATATTTTTTACATTAAAAACTATTAAAAGGCAAATTTTCATATTGAATTTGAGCTAATTTAATTAAATTGAAATAGAACTAAAATTAAAACTTCTATGCCAAATATATTAATGGAATTAATTTTTAAAGAACAAACTATTAAAAGAAATTTAAGAAGGGCATTCATGGAAAAATCGGCTACATGTAGTTTTGGAAAGAAACATTTGAAAATTTGCATATTAATATGGCGTTTTACGACGATATAATGGTGCACAAATAAATTTACACAAATTCCTTTCTCACCATTTGTAGTAAGATAATCGGATCTGAAAACCCATACCTTTATTTGTAATAAATCAAATAACAAAAGAAGTTACTAAATTAAATTTTTCGAAAACCGAGTGAAGTAATCGAGTTTCATAATATGGTATCTCGTTGGTATGATGGAAAACAATAAGGTTAAAACAAATATGGAGTAACGTAATGTAACTCTTGATAATAAAATTTAGGCAGTGTAAAATATACATTTATCTGTCTCCGTGTAATGACAAGTGATAGAACTACAAGTTGCCGAGATGGTCAAACGAAATGTTTACACTTAGATAGCACCGTACATCCAACGGACGTCCGTTTCATGTCCAGTTTATATCCGAATGTCCTACATTTATTTTGGATATCCCTAGGATGTTTGTAAGACTTAGATTGCGGATGTTCTAGAAACGTCCGTCCGACAAATCCTAAGGATATCCTGAAGACTTAAATTTCGGATGTTCTAGGACTGTCCGTTTCTTAAGTCTTACGAATGTTCGTAGTATTTAAATTTCAGATGGTTTCATTAGTAATTTTGGCTAAATGTCGTTCCGTGTAAGGTGATGGAACCCCATGAGCAAGGTGTCATTCTTGAAAGAATCAATACAGAAGTGTAATGACACGAGTAGTTTTGTGCGCAAACCTCAGAAAATATAAAAAAATATTTTTTTCTTAAACTGATTCTAACCAACAGAGAATAAGTACTTTGATTTGAATAAATGGATCTTTTTAACTGTCTCTAACCAACACAGAATCAGTATTTTGCTTTGAAAATAAAAATAAACCCAATCTACTCACAAATTATAACCCCCAGACATATGTTTTCATTATAATTCCTTATAGGAAATTTAACCTTTTATTTATTAACAGGAACTAACTCGGACTAATTTCTACTAACATTGCGAAAATCGCAGACCAACGTACCCTAACTTTTATCATCTTGCACAGAATTAAATCTAAACGTAATTTTGAACATTTGGGAAATGTTTCTTATACGCCTGTTAAGACATTACTATAGCGTTATTAAAAACTCTTTAAACGTTCCCAAAAAGTACAGTCAATGTTATTTTTACACAGTCGGAAAACGTTTTGAGAATGTTGACACAGGACGTCCTCAGGCCGTTCCACTTTGTAAATAGGACCGTCCAGAATATTTACAGATCTTAACGAGGATGTAGGGGGACATGTGGATATTTTCGGGACATCCTCCGAATGTACCGAACGTCCAGAACGTACGTTCTCCGGACGTACATATGACGTTTTTGTAGCTACTTGGGCAGTGTATCATTAGGAAAGTATTACATCATAGTAAACTTTATTTTTTTCAAATGTACCTAAAATTGTCCCATCTTTTTGAAAACCGTATTTTAAAACTGAAGATTCAAGGAATCCAATGGTATTTTTTCCAAATTGATCTATGGGTGAGAACAGTATCAAATCGGCATTTGAAAATGAAACTTTAATTATTATTGTATGTGTTAATAAACAAAATTTTTCGAATACAGTTAGAAAATCGTTTCTATAGCTTTAAAGTGAGAGCAAAATCAATGCTCTATGTTTACAACTAATCCAAATATTGCGGTTAAAGTGATGTCATATCGACCGATTACGTCTAATTTTCCAAATCTTATCATTAAATGTGTAAATTGGTAACTATAACCGCAATTCTGTGCGTTTTAACTTTAACTGGCACAATCATGAATTTGTATTACTATGTTATGCAGCAAAATTACTATTTCAGCGTCTATATTCTCCCGGTAACATTTGAGAACATATATATGTAGATCTTTCTGAGCTTGACACCTTAGATTTTTAACGAAAGATTTGTATATATAGAAATATTGGTCTTAAAAAGTATCTCACAGTTTGATTATCCACAACATTTGTTTAATTCAAATACATTAAACTAGTTCATATTGCATAAATTAGAAACGAAAACAAGAAATGTCAATCCAAAATTATTTTGACATTCACAAAGCATTGATAACTACTTTCTCTGCAAATTTGAGGAACAATAACCAGAGCTATATGTAGTGTTTGTGTAATTATCATGAACAATATATTATTTCAGAGTGAAAGTACTTCCAATATTTGCTGATGAACAGCGTGAATATCATACGAAAAATTGCTGTTTGGACTTCAATTCGGAAACGTTTGGGACAAACCGTGTACATATACACGTAGACACTAGTTACAATCCTTCATTTGAATAATTTTTAAATAACAACTGAAAATTTCTATCTTTTATTCAGGATTCGAGAACTTGTATTTATTAGGAATAATATGTCTCTGAAATCAGAAAATTTAGATGTATTAAAAACGAGAATAGAACAATTACAAACCTGATGGCTGTAAGCTGGATATGGAAAGATCCCAAGGATTCTAGAGCCAGCCGCGATTGATGAAAATGCAATAATAATAACACTGATATATAGCCGCGACATTTTATTCAATTCTTGAACAAGACATCCGTGGTTCTATTGCGCTTGACACATACAAAAGAATAAATTTTTCATGTCTTCACAGTTTTACCAGAAGACCATGAAATTATATGCAATAGATAAGCTGACACTGCAGAAGAGAATACTTTTCTTGTATTTTATAAATTTTGTCCATACTTTTATGTAAATTGCACGTTATTTATCGAAATGTTTCAGTTTTCTTGAATACATATAATATACATTGTATAATAGAAATGTAGGCAATTTACGTAACAAAAGTTGGCCCAAACAAAAGACATATGAAACGAACTGTACCATAGAATGTACCAATTAAAATATTTGTTTTTTTCGATGAATATCTTACTGATATCGATTAGTTTGAAAAAAATTATCTTTATATCATTAACACTTCGGCAGCACTTTATTCAATGTTTCGAACATCCAAACACAATTTTTAATATTTGTTGACACAGCTAGATTTAATCGTTCTTCTCTTTATTAAAAATTTGACGTGCAAATTAAATTTATTTTTAGTAGATTTGTAGTAGAAGATGAGAAACACTCGCAACACTTTTGTATTGATGGGTGCTTCTCGAAAGATATTTTTCAGTGAATTTTCGAAAGTTAAGTTGATAACTGACACGAGTCTGATATTGTCGGTGTATATTCGATTGTCGGATCTCCCCACCAATCATCTCCTATCTTATAGACACACACACACATCATAATTCTTATACCTTACGTAACCTGTGATGGTACCGAAGCTATTAGCAAGAGCAAAAAATTTGAAGCTATCGAGTGATTTGTACGTATCTTACAGACGATGTTAAAGAACAGTTTTCGCTTTAACAAAATACGCAAACTGTATGAGAGACAATGAAGAGTAGTCATTCTTCATGCAAGAGTAAACTGAAAATGTAGAAAATTCATTGGATATTCATGCTACAGAATACAATACTAATACATAGTATTGGTTTCTATTTTTGTAAACATAATTTTGTACATACAGCGTGTAATTTGCATGTGTATACAGGGTGTTAATACAAATGTGGGAGTGGGACACTTTCACAGGGTGAATTGTACATACTAAACTAAGAGGGAAATGAAGAATGAGGTAATTGTGTTCGAGGCTGTGTTTCCGAGTTATTAATTGTTGAAAATACGGGCGAAATGCGCGTAAAATATGTCTGACACGACGAATTATTCTACTTGAGAGGCACGCTCTTCAATTGTTTCATGAGTTGGTTTCATTTATTTGATGTTATTTAATTCATAAACTTAACTAGTATTTTCAACAGTTAGACTTCAGCGAGTGAAAATAAACCACGTAAGTGTCGCCAAGAAATTTCAGAAACTCTCTCAAACTTTACAAAAAATTGTGTTAAACAAAAGTTTCGTAAATCAAAGTTCTTTTATCTGCAATTTTTCCGGAGACATTGATGTTACCTTTTGTTTTTTAAATAAAAAAATGGTATTTTTTAAACAGATTTCATTGGGATGACTCGTGACAAATCCAACGACTTTAAGTATATTATATTAAATGCAAATAACGTGAAAAAATCAACAGAAGTTGTGTAATGTCGTGGCATATCAAGGCATTCGTTTCAGAGGCAATCGAACGCTTGAAGGTCAGAGGTACAAATACACCGTGGCGTTGCATAACTTCTACTACATTTTTATATATAATTATGTCTGTTTTGTGACATATTTATGGTCGTTGGATGATTCATACTAACAAAAATTGTTTAATGCTGTAGTTCCATTTAAAAAACCGAAGATAATATTCATATCCTGGAAAAAATGCTGATCGAAACAAATCCCATTTACGAAAGTTGTGCACACTTAAATATAGTTCACCTTCTGTCTAATATAATTTTCTGTAAAGTTCGAGGACATTCCTGCAATTCTGTGGCGACACTTACGTGGGATACATATGACAATGGATACATGAGACCAAACATAACATAATTTAGACCATATTTCTTTATTAATATTAATATTAATAAAGATTTTAATATTAATATAAGATTATATTCTGTAATAATATTATTTATGTTTATTGTATTATACACCACATATTGAAAGACTACTGATGTTAATACGGTACAGAGTTTTGACGTTACACGAATGAAATTTCATTTGAATAGGCAATCGAATAAATTTTTAGAATAAAATATTATTCGAATAATCTTCCAATAAAAGTTGCGAATGAAACGAATTTATTCAAGTAAGAATTTATTCAAGTAATAATTTATTCGAAAAAAGCAGCGAATAAAGGTTATGTCATGGGCGACACGCACCAGCGGCGCATCAATCGTCAATGACTATCTCGAGAAGCGTTCCCTTTACCGCATCGTACCCCTCGGATTCCAATCCATGGATGGGAGCGGTGTCGCTTACTTCTGACTTTTATTCGCTGCGGAATTATTCAGAATAACGAATAAGGAATAACGAAGAACGCTTTATTCGTGGCTAACGAATAATTTTTCGTCAAATAAAATCGTTATTCGTTATTCGCGAATAAATCCTGGGACTTTAATCGTTATTTGTTATTCGTTATTCGAAATAGAATTTGCCCAACTCTGAATTACGGCACCAAATGAAAGTTGCCAGTGCCTAAAAATTTGTGCACTTTTCAATTAGCGTTTGTGATACGTACGTGATAGATCTCCATGAGCTAAATACGAATCTGCAAGCCGTTTCTTTCGAGCACGTCCAGTTTTTGAAAAAATTTCAAATTTTCAATCATCATATTTAAAGAAATTCTTGAAAAAAATACGAAATTCTGAAAAAAAGGTTTTTTAGGTTACCTCAAATTACTACTACAGCATGGTGCCAGCAGTACCATTTTTAATGATGCCTCAAAGATATTTTACTTCAAAGTCAAACCTGGGCCAATTTGTCCCAATGTGACAACGGTGGGTAAAAAGTTGCTTCGTCAGCAAATAGAACATACGAAAGTAAGTATGAATCTCGGCACATTTTACGATAGACCCGTCAGAAAAATTAAAATCTACGAACGAAATCATTGTCACTTAACGCTTGATGTAAAGCCACATGATATGGGTAACATCGATTTCTTCTTAATGCATTATCCGACGGTTTCGCATTATTACGGGATTTTCAGCCTATCGCATGATATTACGTCACGATATTACAGGATTCCACTATTGCTATACCTATGTATGTTGTGATACGTTTTGAACGTTTATAGGCACTCGTTATCGCTTCTTTTTCTTGGCATTAATTTTTGCTCTTAACCAAACAAAACACAAATGATAGTCTAGCAGAGATAAGATCAAATGACAGTCAAGAAGAGCTTTTTTTTAATTCAGCGTCAGTTTCGTATGCTTCGCGTTTTTCATTCGAAAGCATATTACACATTTTATTAGAGTGCGCCTTTTTATCCCTATGCAGTGGACTCCTGATATATGGCTGCCAAAAGCACCTCCTCTCCACATGTATTTTCACGCACACAAATCTGTGGTTGTAAGAAAAAATGTCGCATGTCCTAATTTCAAAGAATTGCAGTTTATGACTTAATTGAGCTGTAGTACATAGCGTTTATGTATTTATCAGAAAAAAGGGCATTAAAACAAATTTTATATGTTCAAAAAAATAATGCAATTTAACTGAAGTTCAATATTCAATTCATACGAATTAGGCAAAAAAAACGTAAATCCACCAAATTTGGAGAATACGACGATTACTCATATCTGAATTTTGTGATCGCTTTATTTTCTATTTTTATTAATCTGTTTATACTATAACTTATTTTGTATAAAATAAAACGAACAAATCATGTACCATATTTTTATTTAACCAGAAATATCACTCTAGTACATGCAAGTGATATGTACGTATGTAACTTGTATTATACAAATAACAACGCAATATACAGAAGAATATTATGCAAAGTGAAAAAAATATACACTTTGTAACCGTACATTTTACATATATTCCGTGGTACGATAGGTGTGGGCTAGGCGCGTGTAAGGGGAAGGTCCCCTACCAAAATTATATACCAGATTCGATGATACGTGCGATACGGGCAAGGAACCATGAACGTCCTATGTTCCACGTGATCACGAGAATGCGTGCGCACCATGCCCCACTAAATCACGATCGAAGGAGGTCGATGCGAGCCTGTCGATCCTCACTCTACGTCTGGACGCGATCCTGTTAGGTCGTATTAAACGAGATTAACACAGTAACACCTGCTGGAAGCGCCAGCGTAGCAGTCACCCAAATTGCATACATATTAAATTATTAAACTAACTTAAAGTCCAAATTAGAGACATTTCATTCAAAGTAGTAAACTCTAGAAACGTTTATAACACATAGAAATTTCCTTTGTAATTTAAAAGAAAGCATAACTGCATGAATCAAGTGTAAGGCAATCAATCACCAACTCGTAGCATTATTAATGTCAGAGGATATTCGTGATCTTGCTGTGAAATACACAAACATTGTGTAAGGCAATCCATCACAAACTCGTAACGTTAATAATGTGAGAGGATATATGTGATCCAGCAGTTTATCTTGGGTAAAACCAGTTAAGCCAGGTAGGCACCGACTTTGCTCCGCGGATGGCGCGATTCATAGGGTCACAGCTGCGATGACCCTCGCGTCGCCCGCGGGTCAACCGGACCGAGGCGGTGGTACTGGGGGTACCACCTCCTTTCGCGGTCAGCCCACAAGAAGACAGCGTCGAGAGGTGATCCCTCGGCGCTGTAGGCACGAGGTGGAGGGACGGCATCACAACCGTCCCAGGGGGGGGAGCAATCGCCCCCTCCAAGGAAAAGCCCTTCCCTTAGACACCTATAGGGCAGGGTAATGGGCGGAGCTGGCCGCGGTTATGCTGAACGATCCCATTGCCAGCCCTACGCCTGAGGGTCACCGGGGGGTTTTTAGTGGGTGAAACCCCACATTGACCGTGTCCGCCCCCAGCGAAGGCGGTGTACTTTTCCAAGGTTTTCGCCCCGTAAAAAAAAAACAAGGTAGTCACCGACTCGATACGTGTAAACGTGAGAGGTAATTTCGTGACCCTGCTGCTTGAATCGCTTGCGCCGTTTGGGTGCAAGACCGTGCGTTTGTAACGAGTATACTTTACCGACGCGGAACGTCGATTTTTGTTTTATATATATGTACGTTTCGCCTAACGTTAAAGTAAATATAATTTGTAAAGTAACTCTTTGCTATAGTTTCGTACCAGAAATTGATCGCGAGTAACCATTCTTCTACCAGTGTCGGGCGGAGGTTCTGAGCTCACGAAATCGTGTCTCAAGCTGAAATCGTTAGGTACTGAGGACCAACCAAGGTTTAGCACGCGTCTCCATCCAAGAAGTCCTCCCAATTTATTGGCAGGATCATTGGTTGCTGCGACATATGCATTGGGGAAACATTGTAGCCCCATAGGAGTGTTCTATATTGAGGGCAATCGAGGTTTCTCTACCAATGTCGGACAGAGGTTCTGATCTCACAAAATCGTGCCTCAAGCTGAAATCTTAGGTACTGCGGTCTAACCGAGGTTTAGCACGTGTATCCATACGAAACGTTCTCCCGACCTAGTCGACAGAATTATTAGTTGCTGGGACAGATTTCTAAACAATAACTAGTCATCTCACAGTCAATATTTTAGCCCTCCGAGTACGGAAACATGTTCACCGGTCCCTATGTCATTTCTGACCCCACACCGATATTCTACTACTACACAGCGACGGCGAGGCTCAAGCTTGAGGCCCTCATCGACACTGTACTAACACAGTGCCAGTATGGCTCGAGCTTGAGACCCTCACCGATATTACTACGCAGTGGCGGTTGCTCGAGCTTGAGCTCGAGCCACCGTCACCATGTGTACAATGTAATGATTAGCTGGTTCCACATTACATCTGGATTTTCGTGGTTCTTATTACACTAACTAGAATAAAAATCTCGTGAATTATAAAGCAAATTATATTTATTAGTCAATACTTCTGCAGCGTCTTGGTCCGGTCGTTCGCATGTAAACAAACATCCGTCGCTATGCGATTTACGCGACAGCTCCGTCACTGCGTGCGTGTCGCTCTCGCGAACGCGTGACCCAGGGACCGTGCTCGGAGGGTTAAACACGTTACTCTGGCAAAGAAACCGTGTAATGGGTGGACCGGTGCAAGCGGCACATCACCCATCGTGTTCAATTCTCCGAAAGCGGTATTAAATCGTGTGGTGTAGCATATCACAGAGTTAATAGAATATACACCACTTTTACCAGACAAATCTATAATTTTCTAACACATTCATACCACCACTTCCGTCCTCGAGGTACTGGAGGCACGAATCCTACTTTGCGTGATATCACGGGATTTTACCGGGTTGATCCGTTAAAGGGAAGTAACCGGCCTTCAGATAAAACAGTAAGTTTCATGTCACGATAGAGTTAAATGATATTGTACGGTTACATAATTCACGACCGACAGGCAAAAATACGGTTACAACTTATATCGTAAAAAAGAAACAAGGAAACATTACTAATAAGAAGAATTGGTGTTCAGAACTTTAAACAACAATACACACCTCGAAAGAAAAACCATGTAATATGCGGCGTTTTTCCTGACAGCAATAGAAATATCGCTCTCCCATCACTTTACGTATGTCGCCCCACCAGCCCGATCCAGCTGTTGCGCAGGCGCTGAAGCCGGGGCTATGACGACAGAACTTAGCATGGAGCGGGCTCGAATACATTGCCGTTTCCGAGAATTTTCCTCTCCTACAGACCCAACTGCAGTCACATATCCACTGTAAAATGAGTGAACGTTTAGAGAAGCAATGCGAATTTGATCATGAAAGTATGTAGATTATTATAGCGTGGATCAGTGTCGCAATGATGTAGCAATAGAATATACAGTAATTCCTCCATGAATGCAACACGAACAACTGCGTTATTTCCACCACTGGGGGGGGGGGGGGGGGG